GACCCTCCCTCCCTTTCAGTCCCACCTCACACATTATTCATTACTCACTTTCACAATGGCCCTGGCACTGCCAGTTGACCCATGCATTCCAAATGCTCCCCACCATCCCTTTTGGCTCCCCAGCCTTTCCATATACTGAAGGCAGCTGGAAGGTGGCTAACCCACCTCATGGCTCTTCCTAGAGACAGTGAGTTGCTGTTGATGTCCAGAGTGCTACTGAAGACCAAAGAACAGTGTCAGCGGGGCCTCAGGCCCTCAACGTAATGGTGCACAAATCTAACACATCCCCCAAACCAGCTATATAAGAGGCTGAATCAAATTTCCAGCCCAGGGATTACCCAAAATTTTCATGATGTGTTAACAAATTTAACCTTCACTCCTTCCTTAAACATAAATATTAATTGACTACTCAATACCAAGGCTTAATTTAATACACAAATTCCAAGGATGATTGAAAAGCTGTAGTTAGAGTCTGCATTATCTCTATTTTGCTTTTTTTCAGTGTGTCTGGTGCATGCTGTCAGCCCCTGATATTTATCTATTTTGAATTCTGTTCATTTTTACAGAAACAATTCCTTTCCATATCAATCTTATCAATTCCTTCACAACTCCATAGTGCGCCTTCTTTCTGATGTTCACTAGAAACTGCTATTAATTATTTATTCAGTAGTTGTTTCAGACTCCACAACTAGGTTTTTCCCTTCACCTTTAACACTTGTTTTTTAAGCTTATTAAAAGCTCTTACTTTCTTTATATATTCTATAATAGCCTCCTGAAATGAAATGCTTTTTGTGACTATATGCAAAGTGTAGGTCAAAACTGACTTGGAGATTGAAAAGATTTGTTTCAATGCTTCCAGTAAGACTCAAAAAATGCCAAAATAATCTCCCGAGCCATATGAGTAAACAATGTCATGTTGTTCCTTAATAGATGAGCTTGGCTGCCTCCATGACTATTTTCTTTGTAAGAGATGCAATAGATGTACAAATTCGTTTTGCTTACATTATTCTCAATCCTGAGTATTTAAGTATGTAGCTTCTAGCACACGCAAATGCATCAAACTGTGATCCTGACTCATAATCTTAAATTGGTTTCTGGTAAAACTCTTAGCACAGTCCAGATTATTTGATAAATGATTTACAATCGCAGAATCACACATAATAGAGGATATACTTTTCTGAGGCTTGCAGGTGTGAGCTGGTTGAACATGAGCAGCATGATCCGCCAGTCATTGGGCTGTACATACTGGCACACTGGCACTGAAACTCACATATCACATTACTCATTTATGTGGTAGGCAAATGCCTTTTTGGCTTGACGGCAACATCCTGTTAGTGGAGAAAACCACTTGTGGATTTACCGCATAGAAGCAGCATGAAACAGTTCTCCAGCTGTTGTTCAAATTGTTGAAACCCCTTCCACTTCCAGAGTAATCTGAGGTGACTGTCCACTACTCAGGGCCAAAAGTGGTGAACATACACCTTTCATGACTATACATGATCTACAATAAGTGATGAGTGAATTAAGTGTATCCATCATCACAAAGGATAGTTTGCTATGCCCTATCTCAGCATCAAGCTTATACAGTGAGTAGGAGATAGTAGGAACTGCAGATGCTGGAGAATCCGAGACAACAAGGTGCAGGGCTGGATGAACACAGCAGGCCAAGCAGCATCATAGGAGCAGAGAGGCTGATGTTTCGGGCCTAGACCCTTCATCAGAAAAGGGGGAGGGGAAGGGGGTTTTGAAATAAATAGGGAGAGAGTGGGAGGCGGATAGAAGAGGGATAGAGGAGAGGATAGGTGGAGAGGAAACAAACAGGTTCGAAGAGGCGGCGATGGAGCCAGTAAAGGTGAGTGTAGGTAGGGAGTTAGGAAGGGGATAGGTCAGTCCAGGGAGGACGGACAGGTCAAGGGGGCGGGATGAGATTGGTCGGTAGGAGATGGAGGTGCGGCTTGAGGTGGGAGGAGGGGATAGGTGGGAGGAAGAACAGGCCTGCACATCTGCCAATGTGGTATACAGCATCCGCTGTACCCGGTGTGGCTGCCTCTACATTGGGGAAACCAAGCGGAGACTCGGGGACCGCTTTGCAGAACACCTACGCTCGGTTCGCAATAAACAACTTCACCTCCCAGTCGCGAACCATTTCAACTCCCCCTCCCATTCCTCAGACGACATGTCCATCCTGGGCCTCCTGCAGTGCCATAACGATGCCACCCGAAGGTTGCAGGAACAGCAACTCATATTCCGCTTGGGAACCCTGCAGCCCAATGGTATCAATGTGGATTTCACAAGTTTCAAAATCTCCCCTCCCCCTACCGCATCCCAAAACCAGTCCAGCTCGTCCCTGCCTCCCTAACCTGTTCTTCCTCCCACCTATCCCCTCCTCCCACCTCAAGCCGCACCTCCATCTCCTACCGACCAACCTCATCCCGCCCCCTTGACCTGTCCGTCCTCCCTGGACTGACCTATCCCCTTCCTAACTCCCTACCTACACTCACCTTTACTGGCTCCATCCCCGCCTCTTCGACCTGTTTGTTTCCTCTCCACCTATCCTCTCCTCTATCCCTCTTCAACCGCCTCCCACTCTCTCCCTATTTATTTCAAAACCCCCTTCCCCTCCCCCTTTTCTGATGAAGGGTCTAGGCCCGAAACGTCAGCCTCTCTGCTCCTATGATGCTGCTTGGCCTGCTGTGTTCATCCAGCCCTGCACCTTGTTATACAGTGAGTAGATGGCTAGGGCCCTATTCATCAATAAGAGGTTGCCAATAAGATTGATCTTGTAGAAATCCCAAGGTGTATCTAGGCCAGTGAATATAGGCATTCAGTAGGTCGTAGTTAATAACCCATTTTCCAACTACTCTCTTCCACCCTCTTCAGTCAGGCAGAAAATATAAAAGTTTGAATAAATCTACGAACAGATTCAAGAACAGCTTGTTCCCCTCTGTTATCAGACTTTTGAATGGACCTCTCAAATGTTAATATTGATGTCTTTCTGTCTGCACCTTCTCTGCGGCTGTAACACTGTATCCAGCACCCTGTTCTGCTACCCTGCTGCACTTTGTATGGTACGATCTGCCTGTATAGCATGCAAAACAACACTGTTCACTGTGTCTGTTCTTGTAACAATAAATCAAACTCAAATTCAAAATTCTCAACTAATACATTGAGGAAGAGGATCTCATTTGATTGCTGAATTTCAATGGTAAATTTGAATGCAGAATGGAGTTTATTAATAACATATATATGCATACTTTCAATATGTAAATGACATGTTTGTGATATTTCAATCTGCAGCTGCATCAAAGCATTTCTTTACATAGGTTCATAAATTCCACAAACACAGAAAATACTGGAGAACCTCAGCAGGTTCTGGCAGCATCTGTGGAAATTAAAAAAGAGTGAATGTTTTGAGCCCGATATAACTTCTGAAGAAGTCATAACAAATTCCATCTTGACCAGGAGTGGTAAGCTCTGTTGACGCAGGCAGGAAAGCAAGAGGATAGCTCCACATTAAGACACCCACTGGGTTGGCTGTATTGAAGTCTTAAAATAAACAGCTGAGGGCCTTTTGGGTGTAGGGGAAACGTAGCTGCACAATAGCGATGGACATGGTTATGGTTCATCATCCTTGTGGCTCTGATATTGCTGTATGGATTTTCTGGATCTGATGGTTGACATCCTGACTGTTGACAGGGGTCCTGAATTATCTTGTGGCCTCCACACTAAGTTGGGGGATGATGGAGGTGACAGTGGTGGTTCTTCAACTGTGCAAATTGACCTTTAATTGGAGAATAATTGCCCTAATTTTTAAGGGTGGCTCAGTGGTTAGCACAGAAGCCTCACAGCACCAGGGACCCAGGTTCGATTCCACTCTCGGTCGACTATCTGTGTGGAGTTTGCGCATTCTCCCTGTGTCTGCATGGGTTCGCTCCGGTTTCCTCCCACAATCCAAAGATGTGCAGGCTAGGTGGATTGGTCATGCTAAATTGCCCATAATGTTCAGGGATGTGCAGATTAGGTGGGTTATAGGGGGATGGGTTTGGGTGGGATGCTCCAAGGGTCAGTGTGGACTAGTTGGGCTGAAGGGCCTGTTTCCACATTGTAGGGATTCTATGATAATTGGCTAACCACCCTGGTTGTGGCCCTTAACTGCAATAGCCTCCCAAGAATATGATGTAATTCCCCTCTCTTTCCCCAGTCCCAACCTTTACTCTAATCCAATCTCTGTAGTGCTGGGAAAATGCAGCCTCCTACATTTCAGCTTTTGTGAGTATTTTGGAAAATGAAGAGAAGCATTTAAAAAAATAAGAATTTACATTTAGGCTGTGAAGTTATTGATGTAGAAGAAGGTGAGATGGTGCCACTTCCTAGTCAAAGAAGTTGCCAAGTATCTATAGGAGAAACAAAAGCCTGCTGAGCTGTAGAATTTTCTGATGAAGGGTCTAGGCCCGAACCGTCAGCCTTTCTCCTCCTATGATGCTGCTTGGCCTGCTGTGTTCATCCAGCTCTGCACCTTGTTGTCTTGGATTCTCCAGCATCTGCAGTTCCTACTATCTCTGAGCTGTAGAACCCACTTTACAAAAAAAATTTGCCTATTTTTCTAATCAGCCTGTTCAGAGACATTATTCTGCACCTCTGACACGGGGGGGACTTGAACCACAAGAGGGCCCTAGATGTTAAGTGGGACTTGAACCTACAACTTTCCAGTTCAGAGGCCAAAGTGCTATCAGTTGAGGCATGGGACCTTCTTAAAACCTATTGCACTTAGTATTCCCAGGCAGTCTCCCATCCAGGTTTGAGGCTGCTTAGCTTCCAAGAGCAGGCAGGATCAGGTGTTTCTGACTCGCAAGACCTAGGTGAAAATCCACTTTACAACTTTTCTAATAATTGCTTTGCATGCAGAGCTCAATGTCCTAATTAAGAAAGCAAATGTAATCTGGAATTAAATATTTGTCAAAACTAGAGAACTCTATTGACAGTGAGTGATGTTCTTTCAGATCTGTGCGTCGATACGAAGGACATTACAATCGCTGTCATCCATGCAAGATTGCCCTGAGTCCCTGTGGGAGATTCTTGGTCACAGGATCTGAGGACAAGTGTGTAAGTAGCATCAATCTTAAGCACTTGAGCAACATTGCATTGTTTTTACAGATTGCTTATTGCAATTATGTTCATCCTTCAACAAGAGAATTATATTTACGCATGAAGCAAAACTTGACATTTTATATTGCCCCTTTCACATAGCATAACACGTCAAGGTCAATTTTGATATCATGTAATTTTACTGGCAACAATTTTTAAAAACTACAAAATCACTTTGCCCATTGTATCTGAAAACACAGTTGTATGGAGAAGTGATCAGTAAGCTTTGCATGGTCAGTAAGGAGAGATCTCATCCAGAATCTCATTCCACTCAACCTGAGTGAGTATATAGTTTGAGAACTTTGGAGGCAACATGGGAATTCAGTGCAGAGGGGAAGAGTTGCTTTTTGCTTGCTTTCTGTTGGCTCATAGTGGTAAGTTTTTTTTAGAAAGCAGGTTAAATTGAAGCCCAGGATTGGGGGCCCTGCACAAAAAAAAAGTGACATTACGGGAAAACTGTAGGTTCATTGGTTAGTAATAATTGCTAATTTGACTATCCATTATAGATTACTTTCAGATTGAAGGTAAATAGGAGAAATATTTATAGATTACAAACTAAAAAAAAAGTAGGAAATTTTTAAAAACAAATTAAGAACAAGTAAATAAAATAGAGATGTAGGGCCAGGCAATGCGTTGTACCTGCATGATGTGGGAGTGGTGGAGCCCACTGTGGTTCATAGTGACCACATCTATATCAAGTGTTGGTTGCTTGAGGAAGATTGGCTCAGAATTGATGAGCTAGAGGCTGAACTTCAAACACTGTGACACATTAGTGAGGGGGAGACTTACCTGCACATTGATTTCGAGACGCAGTCGCACCCCTTGAAGGATGAGAAGACTGACTATAGCATCATGGTACAGGGAACTATTCAAGACGGGGGAGTAAAGAGAAATGTAGTTGTAATTGGTGATAGTATAGTCAGGGAAATAGACACTATTCTCTCTGGCACAATTGAGAACCCCAAAGTCTGTTTTGCCTGGTTGCTGGGTTCAGGATATCTCATCTGGGCTGAAGAGGAACTTGAAATGGAAGGGGGAAGATCCAGTTGTCGTGATCAATGTAGGTACCAACAATGTAGCTAGAAAGAGAAAAGAGATTCTGCTGTGGGATTATGAGCAGCTAGGGGCTAAGTTAAACAGCAAAACCAGAAAGATAATAATCTCCTGATTACAACCTGATCCAGGAACTAATTGGCACAAGTTAAGCAAGATTAAAAAGGCAAAGGCATAGCTGAAAGAATAATGTGGAAGAAATGGGTTTCAATTCATGGGACATTGGCACCAGTACTGGGAAAGGAGGAAGCTGTTCCAATGGATGGGCTCCACTTGAATCATGCTGACCAGAATCCTGGCATTGCTTAGGGCTATACAAGGGCTTTAAAATACATAGTGGGAGGGCGGAAAATAAAAACAGAAATTTCTGGTAAAATTCAGTAGGTTTGGCAGCATCTGTGGCAAGAAGACCATTTAGCGTTTCAAGTCTGGAGACTCTTCATCAGAACTGTTAGCAACTAGCATAAAGCTCACCTTTCCACTTACCCTACCCACCTCCCCAACTTTGTCTTCAGCATAAATATACTACTTTTTCCTAGCTGCTAACAGTTCTGATGAACAGTCACTAGGCTCAAAATGTTAACTCTGCTTTCTTCCCACAGATGGTGCCAGACCTGCTAATTTCACCAGCATCAACACTTTTTGCTTTATTTTAAGGGGAGTGGGGGTTCAATTGCATGGAAAACTATAATGTCAAAGGTGAAGGAGAAGGTAGGATTGCTGGTTCGTGATGCGGTTGGTTGTTATCAGAAAATAAAGGAACGGGACAGAATGTGGGACAGAATGTATGAATGTCATATTGTGCTAAGGAACCAAAATAATTCTAGGGAAACTCAATAAGAGAGCAAACTTCGAGGCATTTTCCTGCACAAAGTTTTCAGAATAAGGTAGATAAACTGATTGTGCAAATCGAGGTAAATCAAAGTCACAAGGACTTTAAACTAGTTAAAACTGGGGGAGGGCCAAAAATTCCAGAACAAGTAGTAGGACAGAGAGAATGAAAAACATCAGCATCAGAAGTCTAACTTCAGACACAACAGATAAGGCTCAACTACGAGAACGGGGCAGTGAATGAAGGACAGAGGTGTTGTACATAAATGCACGCAAAAAGCGAGTTCAATGAGCTTGTAGTGCAGATTGAAATTGGCAGATACAGTGTTGTGGACATCGCAGAGATGTGGCCGCAAGGGATCAGGCCAGGAAAATTAATATCTAAGGATTCGCGTTTTAGGTAGGACAGACAGATAGACAAAGGAGGCGGCATTGCCTTGTTAGTAAGAAATGAAATTAAATCGACAGCAATAAGCGATTTAGGGTCAGAAAGCGTAGAATCCGTGTGAGTAGAGTTGAGGAACAGAGAAGGAAAAAAGTTCCTGATGGGAGTTATGTACAGGCCTCCGAGCAGTAGTCAGGATATAGGGAAGAGAATGAAGCAGGAGATAGCAAGTGCATCTAAGAAGGGCACTATAACAGTAATCATGGGTATGTAGAGGGACTGGAAAAATGAGGCTGGTCGCATATCTCAAGAAAAGGAATTTGTGGAATGTCTGCAAGATGGTTTTTTTGGAGCAGCTTATCGTAAAGCTCACTAGGGAACAGGCAATTCTGGATTTGGTGATATGTAACCCGGCAGACTTGATTAGGCAGCATAAGGTGAAGAAACCCCTAGGGACCAGTGACCATAATTTAATAAAATTCACCTGCAGTTTGAGAGAGAGAAACTTGAATCAGATATAACGGTATTACAATTGAATAAAAGTAATTCCAAAGACATGAGGGAGGAGCTGGCCAGAGTTGATTGAAAGGGGAGCCAAGCAGGGAAGACTAGATCATCAATAGCATTTTATTTGGGTAATTTGGGAGGCAGAGCAGAAATTCCTATTCCAAGGAAGATGAAACGTACTAAGGGGAGGATGTGACAACCATGGTTGATAAAAGATGTCAGGGACAACGTAAAAGTAAAAGAAAAAACTTACAATGTGGTGAAGATTAGTGGGAAGCTAGAGGATTGGGAAGCTTTTAAAAACCAGCAGAAGGCAACGAAAAAAGCAATAAGGGGGAAGAAAATGAAATATGATAGTAAGCTAGCTAGTAACGTAAAAGAAGATGCAAGTTTTATTTTAAATATATAAAAGGGAATAGAGAGGCAAGCGTGGACATTGTATTACTGGAAATGAGGCTGGAGAAGTAGTAATGGGGAACAAAGAAATGGTGGAGAAACTAAATAGGGACTTTGCATCAGTTTTCATAGTTCAAGACACTAGCAGCATACCAGAACTTCAAGAGAGTCAAGAGGCAGATGTGAGTGTAGTGGCTATCACTAAAATGAAGGTGCTGGGGAAGCTGAAAGTTCTGAAGGTGGATAAATCACCTAGACCAGATGGACTAAATGGGCAAATGGGTAAATTATTGGAGGTGATTATAAAATATAGGATTTATGGACATATAGAGAAGCAGAAATTGATTAGGGACGGTCAGCATGGTTTTGTGCAAGGAAAATCGTGTCTCACAAACTTGATTGAGTTTTTTTGAGGAAGTTTCCAAAAAGAATGATAATGGCAGAGCAGTAGATGATGTTTATTTGAATTTTAGTAAAGCCTTTGACAAGATTCCGCATGGTAGACTAATTAGTAAAGTTAGGTCACATGGAATTCAGAGCGAGCTCGCCAATTGGATATACAATTGGCTCAACAGCAGGAGACAGAGAGTAATGGTGGAGGGTTGTTTTTTGGACTGGAGGCCTGTGACCAGCAGTGTTCCACAGGGATTGATTCTGGGTCCTCTTTTGTTTGTGATTTATATAAATGACTTGGATGAGAATATAGAAGGCATTAGTAAGTTTGCGGAGTACACCAAAGTTGGTGGCATAATAGACAGTGAAGAAGGTTTTCTGAGACTACAGAGGGATCTTGGTCAAATGGGTCAATGGGCTTAAAAATGGCAGATGGAGTTCAATCTGGATAAATGCGAGGTATTGTATTTTGGTACAACAAGCAACGTTGTACAGGACATTGGTGAGGCTTCTTCTGCAATACTGTCTCCAGTTCTGGTCATCCAGTTATAGGAAGGATATTATCAAGCTAGGGAGTGTTCAGAACAGATTTACCAGGATGTTGCTGGGTATGGAAGGTTTGAGTTGTAAGGAAAGGATGGATAGGCTGAGACTTTTCTCATTGGAGCGTAGGAGGCTGAGAAGCGACCTGATAGAAATTTATAAAATAATAAGAGGAATAGATAGAGTTAATGGTAGTTGTCTTTTCCCTAAGATGGGGTATTTCAAGACTAGGGGCACATTTTTAAGGTGAGAGGAGGAAGATTTAAAAAAGACATGAGGCAATTTTTTTACACAGAAGGTGGTTCATGTGTGTAATGAACGTCCTGAGGAAGTGGTGGATATGGGTACAATTACAACATTTAAAAGACATTTGGGTAAGTGCATGAATAAGAAAGGTTTGGAGGGATATGGGCCAGGAGCAGGCAGGTGAGACTAGTTTAGTTTGGGATTATGTTTGGCATGGACTGGTTGGACTGAAGGATCTGTATCAATGCTGTATAACTCTATGAGTCTATGACTGCACCCCAGAGTTCTGGAGGAGAATGCTGAGGAGATTGTGGAGGAATAGATGGGGATCTTCCAGGAATCACTGGAGTCCCACAGAGAACTGAAAAATGGCCAATGTAACACCCCTTTTTAAGAAGGGAGGAAAACAGAAGACAAGAAATCATAGGCCTGTTAAACTGACCTTGAGTGGTTGGCCGGATTTCAGAGTACATTATTAAGGATGAGATTGTGGAAATGCATGGTAAAATAGCGCTGAGTCAGCATGGCTTCATCAAGGGGAGGTCACACCTGACAAATCTGTTAGAATTGTTTGAAGGGATGACAAACAACTTAGATAAAGGAG